CACTATACATGCATATGGTGGTCGCTCAACCTCACTCATCCATGAGACTTCCACCAACCCCACAGCATTAGTGTATGCTAACCATACATAATGTTGGACCCTATATACTTTCGAATATCAAATCCTACCCTAAGCCCTAATTAATAAGAACAGAACATAAGGCCAAATCAAACATTCTCAGGCTATAAGATCTTAATTATGTACAGTCGTGATACATACACGAGCAACTATAGTAATGATGTCAATCTCATATAAGTAAAACCCTAGGTTAGCAGGCATCATATAATCAGGAAATTCTATCATGCAATTCCTGAGAATCCCTAGCCTAGTACTAGTATGTTGTTCTAACATATCACATAATCAAATAACTATATGGTATTTTGGGGTTTACTTACTGGCTCCGGATGATCATACACCCTGCATCCTCCTTTACTTATTTTGAAAACCATTTAAAACCAATTTGAAAATCATTCCTTGATTTGAGACTGGATTCACACGAATGTTCCTCTAATTCACGCAAACCAATGCTCTGATACCAACTTGTAACACCCATAAAATCACGCCAAATTAAAACTTTTTTCAACACACTTAAAAACCTTTTAATCATCACAAAATTTGTTTTCAAAATAATAATCATCAAAGTATCCTAGTTTTCAATCATATAACATAGAAGCAGAAGGAGCAGTATGATCATGCCTTCGCCTTCCCTCAATCACCAGAAGTACCCAAAACAACAAACTGGAACTGTAAGCCCGAAAGCTTAGTGAGCTACCCTAAAATACCATCCTTACATATCCAAAATCATATCATATCAACAAATACAGGACAACTTGCATAATGATCCTTCAGCCTGACTGGACCGCCTCGCAGGGCCTACAGCCTATCTGGATCGCTCCCGAGCCTTCGGCATGACTGGACCGCCTCGCAGGGCCTACAGCCTATCCGGACCATTCTTCGGGTATGTTGGCCTACCACACAAAGTAGGACCACCTCAACCCAACCCCCAGTAAAATAGACATATGCACATAAATATCATATGCTAGCTCATATCATATAACAGTCAAACCGGTCTAACAGATCACTAATCATAGCAATATCCCAAAATCCAGGATACAGACCTAATCGGTCACTAACATAGCATCATTCTATAACCAAGACACTGACCTAACCACGTCACTAACATAAGAATATCACCATCCTAACTACCAGGATGTAAACCAATAATTTGGATACAATCATAAAGGGCCGGCCTTGGTGCCTTAGATCCTACTGATATAGTGAGGATAACTAACCTCGCAACTGTCGACTCGTAAGATAAGGTCAAATTCTCATATCACTGCCACGAATTCCACCACCTATATTCATTGTAAAACCATACCTGTAAATTTCCAACCTCCCAAAACGTCCTTAGAAGCCCATTGGTCAACCCTTAGTCAAAGTCAAAGTCAACTATCAAGGTCAACAGTCCATTT